TATTTTTGGCAACCATATAGGAAGAATTATTTTAGCAGGCTGCCAATGCCCTTACTTGTAAGTGAAACACAAAGGATTTGCTAGAGTTTAATTTCTTCAGATTGCTGTCTCAAGAACAAGTGATGAGTGAATACTAATTACCTTTTCATACACTTTCATACACTGTACACTTTCATAATTTAGTGCTGGCAAAAATGTAAAAAAATGGAAGCATGCCTTACTTATTTTATATATTTTATAGTCTTTATAACAATTGATATATATAATGGTCTCAATATATTTATATTGAGTGTTAAAGAAAAAGAACTGTTAACACAATAATTGCAAAATAAAAGACTCAAAATTCCCTTCAAAATAAATGTTAAAGTTATTTAGAATTCAGAACTGTTTAAAGTAGTGAAGTGACTAGTGACCAAGAACACTAAAATATGCCCTGAATTGGCCAGCACACCGGCATTTTTGCTGGCTGCCTGGTTCTCTCCTGGGTCACCCACTACTCACTCGAGCCATGGCTGCTTACCAGGGAGGCCAAGTTAATACATTCTTAAGCAATTTTTGCTAACACCTGCGAAAAGTAATACAGATGGAAAAACAGTGGGGCCTCGTTCACAAACTTAATTCCTTTTACAATTCTGGCTGCAGATTTAGTTCCACAATTCTGTTTGCAACAAAATTATAAGCATAGCACATATGTATATAGTATACCCACTGTTAAGTAATTTAGGGTTAGGGTTAGAGTTAGGATTAGGGTATGTGTTTGCAGTTTGCTTTCAATCAGAATTGTGAAATGAATTCTGCAACCAGAATCCTGGAAAGAATTTAGCTTGTGAACCAAGGTAACAGTGTATCACACTAAAAAATATACTTACTAAAATCTCAAAAATATTTTGTTTCAGTAGTATAAACTAATGAATCTATTTCTAAATGCATATCTAGACAAAACATAGCAATTATTGCAATTACTTGATTTTGTGTGTTGTATATACAATGTATGTATTATGGTATTTTATATTTAATGAGAAATAGATAAACACTTCATTATTATCACTTCATAGATTCAAGTTTTGCATGTGTTTATGCAACTATATTAATGTTTCTATCTAGGAAAATTAGATTCATAATTTGAAGACTATGTAAGTGAATTAAAGGGCTGTGGCAATAGCATCCATGGTCAAGTTTGTGGCTAAGTCTGTGTGTACACAAATAAAATCCATGTATTTATATCCAACTTTATTAATACCACTGAAGCACAAATTTTCAGTTCAACAACTTGGATTTTCCTTCTCTCATATTTGGTCTACTAGTCTCTCTCTCCCTTTTTTGTTTTTCCTTCTTTGGGATTCTTTGCAAATGTATAATGCTGAAATTCCATTTTGATCTGTGTCACTGCCTTTTTCATGAAGTATTTTGTTGTCTTATAATCAGTGAAAATCCACATAAATGAGTGAAGAAACACACTTGGCATTTTTAAAGATAGTAGAGATGAAATTAGGAAGTGACTTTTTAAAAGTATTCTTTACTAAGATTCAAATTGGTGCTTTTTTATCTGTTTATTGGAGACAAAGTCTCACCATGTAGCTCAGGCTGGCTTGAATCACATTGATCCCCCCGCCTCAGTCCCCGGACGCTGGGATCACAGGCATACACTGCCACAACTGGCTATAGTGTCATGAATTAATTCATTGATTCAGTTTTCAATTGACACTAAAGTTCTCCTACAATTAGACTTTGGGGTTGCTTTTGTGGCTTTCCACTTCCTTTTGGAAAAAGTTCCAGAATAATAATAGCATTAAGTCTGTCAGCATGAGAAATGAGACTGGTCATAACGCACTGAAAGCTTTCAGTTCTCATTCTAATCCCCTTCATTCAAGGTTCTGTTTCATCCCAAATGGCAAACCTTTTGCTGAAATTCTTTCGCTTCTCCAGTCACATATTGGTCTTACCTATAAATGACGTCCCTCTTGCTGTCTAGACCACCGCCCCTACACATTTCCACATCCCTCTTTCCTGTGCATGGCTCACTCCTACTTACCCTTCTGAAACTAGTTTTGATTTTCTTGTAGAAGTCTAGGCTGGTTGGGTTAGATAGGCTTTGGTCATCTGCTTTCAAATAACCCTGAGCCTGTTCTATTATTTTTTGAAACTATCCCTTTGTTATTCCTTTTACTCTTTGTCTGTGAGATTCGCAAGATGAGAGACTATAAAAGGGACTTGGATTGAAAGAGGAAAATATGGAAATGAAATTTAGGCAAAACTCTGAGGAAACATAAGAGCCCCACAACTTAGCCCAAGAAGCAATATTGGCAGGAGAACTATCCTCTAACAGGAAGCAATTAAAATGTTTCCAAACAATCTCTACTAGAGCTTAGTTCCAGTTGATTCCTGTTGGTGCACCATTCCTATCTCTTTTGTTAATTTGGTTATGGTGAACACTTGTGAGTTAATGTGCATTTGAAATTAGAGAAAAAGTGGGCTTTGCTTTTTACCTCAGATGATAGAAACCCACAGAGAGACTAGTGGGTTCCCAGAGTGACTGCAAGGAGAGAAATGTCACAGAAAAAGTAGGCTGCAGTGGGGACTAACTAGTTAGAACACAAGAGAGGGCTCTCTTTCTCACCCAAAAGGTGTTACATAGCATGTTCTTTAACTATGACAGGAAAGGGTGAGTCTTTGGGACTTCAGGTCATTAGATTACATAAAGCTAATTAAGAATAATATCTGAGCCTATGTGTTCCTTGCTGTCTTTCAAAAACTTATCAGTGCAAGATCAATTGATTATCCATCAATGCAATGAGCCACCTGGTCTAACTCTTTGTATCCAGGACAATAACTACTTTTGTTTTAAAGACAACTGAGGAGGCACCAGGGGCTTCATAGTCTCAGAATCTACTGGAATATTTTGTACTCTGTTCATATATGTCTCAGTCTTGGGTCTTTCACTCTGAAACAATTTTAAAACCATCTTGATAAGTTATACACATGGATGTTAGACATTTATTAAAATTGCATCAGATTCATAAATTAATTGTGGAAGAAAAGAGCGTTTTACAGTATTGTCTTGATATCTTTCAATAAAATATAAGTTTTTTCACAGTTTTTATATGACACTGCTAACTTTCTTCCCTCTTGATTTAAATGGTGATGCTAATTTATATATTTTAATTGCTTTTTCTAATATATAGAAAATTATGCTCAGTTGAGTTTTTCAAGTCCAAGCAATTGTCTTTAAGTTTTTAGGTTCTATCTTCACTGTCGTATTACTAATGAATGACTTATTTTGTTTCCTCCTACTCCTTAGGAATTTTGTGAAGCAAATCTTTGCTCTTGGGCTGTGGATTTAGCTCAGCGGCATAAGCACCTGCCTTGCACACAGGTGGTCATGAGTTTGATCCCTGGTACTGATAAAGAAAAAAAATCTTTGCTCTTGTCTACCTGCATTGTGTAAAAAGTTGAACAGAAGTACTGAGGATACAGTCCTTATTTTGTGCCAATCTTAGATTTTGTGAGTTTTAACATTTTACTAGTAAATATTAATCTGTTTGTAATTTAATCAGTTGTAAGATTTAAAGTTTTGTTAACATCCCTAAGGGTTTTATTTTTAAAACATGAATGGATATTAATTCATATTTCAAGTTATACTGGAATATGTGATGACCATTAACTGTTTTCTTCCCTATCTCCTATTATAGTAATTTTATTACTTGATCTTCAACTATTAAAGTAACTGCATTTCTTAATTGTGATATATTATAGTGTTTAAATGATTTCATTTAATATTATTTTTAAATTAATTATAATGTATTATTATGAATGACTTACAGAAAATTACCTGGCTATAAAGAATTAATTAATATCTCTTCAATTATCACAAGATTTTATATCTTACTTAAAAATGTTGAGTTAGACTTGGAAATATTATAATATCTATAATATTATAGATATTTGTTTCAGTAATCTGAGTTTCAGAATGTAAAGCCACTAATTATAATTTCCCCTTGAATTTTCAATGTTTATATATTTAGCAATTTTATTAATTTTTGAAAACCATATGTGTAAACCCTGTTGCTTTCCTGCTTCTTTATTGTTTTTCTTATTTTCTAATATAGGCAGTGAGGTTATCAGTATAAACTACTTATTAGCAGTTGCAACTGGTGGCTTGCCCTTCACGTTAGCCTCCCAGTGCCTGCGGAGAGCATCACCACGCTCCACGTCATGCTTTTAGGAATGCAGAGGTACTGTGGGTCCTACAGTGCTGTAAGGCAGAAGCCCTAACTTGAAGGGATGAGTGAGCCATGTCCTTCCTGAGGGAACTGGGACAGAGACCCTTTCCTTACATTTCCTCCTCTGGATGCAGTAACCCGTCCAGCCTGACCTGTAAGCCTCTCTTGCAGCCTTCCTGTCCATCATTCCATCCTGTCTCTGTTTCTGGCCCTCCAAACCATGCAGCTATATTGGGTCAGCACAGACAACCCAGGATAATCTTGCAAATGCAGAATCTAACAGGATCACATCTGTGAAGCCTAGAAGCAGAGTCTAATCCACTATGAAGTTCACTTACTGAATTACTTAATCATTGTTTTTTTAACTCTCAGATTTTTGTTTTCAAATATGTTTGGCCTTGATCATATTTTAAGCTCCCTTTCCACATGTTTCAGTTTTATTCCCCACTTTGATAAGCACTTTATAAAATATCCTGTCTTTCTTCTTTAACTGAGTGCCCAGCTATGTTGAAATGTTCAGACATACTGAAAATCTGAAGCCATCTTTATTAGTAAAAATAAAATACATTGAAAAATTGAGAAAATTTCAACGTACTATGGAAATACCTACTGTTGTTATCCCATGTTGGAAAGGTTATCTGTTTTTCTACAATACAATTTTATCATTTTCAACACAATATGTGAAACATTATAAGTATGATGTTTAAGTTGAAATGTGATTGTAAAGTAAAACAAAGATTCTTGATAGATTTGAACTACCAATGAAAGACAAACACCTGATGACTTTGGAAGAAAATTATATTTTAAACATGTTGTATTTACATTTTCATTTCCATAGTATCAAAAGCAGTACAGAATATCTTTGGGAAAACATACAGTCATCTTAAAAAATGCAGGGATATCAAAACTGATTGTCAGCACAACAAAATTTCAGACAAGCAACATACACTAAGATATTATTTGTAAATTAAAATAAAATTTAACTAGTTGTCCTTTTACTTGTATTTATTATCATTTTTTTGCTAAATCTGGATAGCCTGATCAAAAGTTCTTGAATATACTATTCAACATCTAAAATAAATATTAATTTACTGTAACATCCCACTACACTATCAAATGTGCTTCTTCCTCCTCCATTTCTGCAACTTCACACAGAAATATTACAACATTTGATGCATAAATAAATACATAAATAATAAATAAATGAATAGTTACTCTGGAAGATAATTTACGTGATCATGCAAAAACTTAAAGTGCTTCCGTATGTCCCCATGACATTCTGGGGAGGAAGGAAGGTGGTGGCTTTTTCTTGTGAGGTAAGGAATAAAGGGGAATCCAAGGTGCAGATGGGCAGGGAATCATGGTCCTGGCCCGCAGAAGTAGGGTGGCAGATTTAACTCAGAATAGTTAGGATTTTCCAGCTAAATTTACATTTTTGGTAAACATTGCTACCCTATCATCTAATGTTTGAAATGCCACATTTGTAGCAAGCCAATTCCTGAAGTAGAAATCCTTTTACTCTCTTAGCCCTTGATCTTAATTTTGCTCTTTGCAATTAATTTCCCATGCAATATCTAAAATGTCCTTGTATTTAAAACAAGACTTTTTGTTTGTCCTAGGTTCAAATAAATAACTTTTAATGTATGTATGCCCCAGATATTGCATGATACAGTGAAAAAAGCTACTCATTGATTTATGAAATTAAAATTCAACTGGGCATCCAGTGTTCTACCTGGCAGCCTCACAACACATCCACACAATGCAAGAAGGACTGAAGTAGATTTGTTTGACTTTCAGGGGTCTCTTCATTGAGAGTTTCTTGGTGGTCATGGGGAATGCACTCTTTTTCAAGAATCTTGGCTCTCAGTCCTGAAAATACACAAAATAAGAATTAAAAATTTTATCATTGTTCTAATAAAGAGGAAAACTGAGTTCTTGAAAATTATTTTCTTAAAACAGTAATGCAGTCTTAGACCCTTGTGCGTTAGAGAAGCCCTGTGATTTCAGCTGTAAGTGGGGAGCCCAGGTAAGCTGCCATCTAATGCAAGATATTTGGGGGAATAAAAGGGAATTTAACTAAGGAGTCGGGACACAGGTGTAAACTGAGCTCCCTTGGACACAGCACAAGTACAAGTATGGCAAATTCCTTGCCCTGCTATCTCTTCTTTTTAATGAAGAGGAGATTTATGGAAGCACCAGAAAATGTCTAGGCTGAATTTTAGACTGCACATCTCAGAATAAACGAAGTTAAATTTAAAAACAATAACTCACCTCTTCAAGAACATGCTCACCACGTCCTGCACCCACTTCTTCTTGGGATCGAGGCAGAGCTGTCGATTGTCACTGAGTTTCACACTGAAATGAGAGGCATGGGTCACGTCAACAACGAATTTAGTTTTCTTACCAAATCACAGTTCCTTAAGAGTAGATGTGAAAAGTGAACAGTCTTTAGTAGCTAATACCAAGTCAAAATGTCATGTAGACAAGAATTGCTTCTGCTCCTAATACCTAGAGGTCTTCTGGATACCTGCAGTTTCCTCCTATGTTTGCTGGAGCAAATTTTCTGGTCATTTGGAGAGCACTTACATGATTTCTGAGTTGGCACAACGTGGTCCACTCTCAATCACTTTCAGTTCTTTGATAAATTTGGGGTGGAAAGGTGTGGTGTGAATCTTAATACACTGGCATCGCAGCTCCGAGACCAACTTTGTCACGACCATACCTGTGGAAAGCAAGACACAGAAAAGGACTAAGATTGATCCCACTGGCTCTGCTAATGACTCTTTACTCTCAGCTCGATCATCTGGAGACCTTTCCAGTGAGTCCATTGCTGACACTGAAGTCAGGTATTTGCCTATAGCCCTGGACCTCAGTTTTTCTCTCTGCTAAAAACTTATCATTGCTGGAAATATAGAATGGCATTCTATGCGGAGTTTGAATTGTTCCGCATTGCTTAAATGATCTCATCGTCCTTTCTTTCCTTCACTATCATGTAAGCCTCTGCAACACCAGAATGCTATTTATTGTAGGCAAACTGATATTCAGAGCGTACATACTGCTTCAGAAAGAATTAACAGAAAATATAAACGAGACACACAGAGATTCTACATGTCTCTAAAACCCCCAATGCTTAAAAGAAAAAAATACATAAAAACTACATGCTGTTAGCACAATTCCTGTAACGTTTTCATAAGAAGGAAAGCGGTCTTGTGATCAGAGTACCATTCAACCAAACAGGAATTGATAGATACCTGAGGTTTTTCAAGAAAGTACTGCATTAAGTCAAATTACCTGAGTTATCTTGCTCAATACTAATAAATAACTTGGGTAATTGTGGCCATTATCGTATAATCTGAAATTTACAGATTTTATATAATATGTATTATATATATTTCAGCATGAATGATAAGAAGAGAATGTTTATGTTGATCAAATTTTTCCCCTCTGTTAGAAATTAAAACTTCAATTTAACCTTAAATAACTGCAGAGATTATTTTCTCTTCCAGATGCTCATTGTCTATGCATGAAGTCTGACCTTGTTGCATAAAGAACACAATTAGACACAAGAAGACGCCGTGGATAGTTCTGCTTACCCTCGCACAGCACTGCAGAGAGCAGGAAGGCTGCCAAGACGGCCACACGGAGCTGGGAAGGCATGTTTACTCAGAGGAGTGCTTTCTTCTGGTTTCCTGCTGGCTCTTGTCTTGGAAGCTCAAAGCTCCTGTATCTGCTGCCTCAGAGGATTTGTGCTGGATGCAGTGCTTGCCTTGCTTTTATATCTTCCTAACACTAGAAAATTCATGCATCCTCATCCTTACATTATGTCAGAGGAAATTCCACAATATGCAACCGTGGCCTGCCCCGAAGCCAAACCTGAGTCATCCAACTTCCTCAATTGGTTCCTTATCACGTTTTTGATGTGACTGAAACGTACTTTGATCTTTAGAATAGATTTAGTGAATGTGTTTTTAACTATTCAAATTTCTCAGTTTGAAAAGTTACTGTCAGTGGTATTCCTGTGTATCTATGGTAAGGATCATCTGTAGTACTCCATGAGAGAGCAGAGTTCAGATCAAGAGCACTGCTGATTAATTTTTCTTCTTCTCCTGTTTGTTTTTTTTTTGTTGTTGTTGTTTTGTTTTTTTTTTTTTTTTGAGACAGTGTCTCACTAAAATTGTCTACTGTGGCCTTGAGCTCTCCTGCTTCAGCCTCATGAGAAGGAGCTGGGAATACAGGAGTGTACCATCTTTATCTGGCCCCATAATTACTCTTTTTACAGCATGAACTTTTTTGGTACATTTTAGATAAATTAAGTGTGTTCTGAAGACAGTGAAGGTAGTCTTGTCAACTACTTTTTTGGGGATGCCATGCAAGGTGTCTTTTCTAAGTACATTAGAGAGCTTCCAGGAATGGTTATTGTTCTCATGGGGGATACTTCCAGTTTACAAAAATTTTACTTCTTAAGGTATGTTAACAGCAGCAGGTGATGGGCACACCTGCTACACATAGAAATAGTCCAGTTCATTTTCTGAGTAAGATGAAGATCTAAAAGTGGAAAACCTAAATAATTTTTCTTTTCATTTGGTCTATCGGAAGGAGGAGCCTACAGAAGAACTCTATTAGAGAGGAGGGGTGATATTAATTCCAGCTGGGACAGAAGCAGATTCTCTTCCAAAAGCAGCTCAAACAGGATGTAGAGGGATGCAAAAACCATCACAAAAAGAGGAAGAAAGCAAGCAGCATGTTCAGGCCAGGTGCTGTGCATGAGGGATAAGTGACACCCCAAAGACGTGTTTGTGCCCTGGGCTTTGGTGTCCTGGGCTTCTAGGTGTGATGTCGTGGCAATGTGACCCATGTGTTAAACACACCAAGCATGACTTCAGCTTCTGCTCCCAAACTCAGGCCCAGCCACCCTTCCTTCATGCTCCTTACCCAAAGAAACCAACACTGATTTCTGAAGATCTACAACCTCTAGTCGGAGCAAGACCGTGAGACTTTTCTTTGAGTTCTAAAAGGACAGCTGTACTCAGGTTATGCACAGTCCAGCTTGGTTTAATGTTTCTCTTTCCTGAGAAGCACTATGCAGTAGTGAACTAACTGATAGAAGGATGTGTGGAGGAAAGTTCCATTTCCAAAGTGCTTTCCATAAAGGTTAGTTTGCCAGTAGTCATTTTCCTTTATCTGTAACCAACACAAGGCTGAGGACAAGTAGTTCCTGAATTACATTACCTTCTACAGCACAGTAAGTGTTTATTCTGCATGATGCACTTCCCATTGTTCTTAGCTTGAGCATTTCAGAAACTTAATTATCTAGTTATTCATTTATATTGATTGCACTGTAGGAGATGTGAATGCTGTAAATAAAATACAGTACATGATTTCAAGACGTTTGCAGTCTACTTCTTCTTCTGGATGATTAAGCATGCAAGCAATGCCCTATGGTTATGGATGTTGGGATACACTAAAGGATGTTCTAAAAGCTAACAGATGGGACTTGGGTCACAGTTTTGATAAATGAAGTTTTTCTGGAGGAAAAAATCCTTTAAAACAGCAACCTATATTGGTGAGCAAGAGGAGGAAGACAAGCTAAGAGGACTGCTTTCACTAGTGAGGGAAAAGCAAGAACAAAGCAAATAAAATTTAAAAGGGCACACTCTGGGGATTTCTAACACTGTTCAGCATATGGAATGCAAACATGTGGTGTAATGAGAAAAGAATGTTGGGACCAGATGCGTGCATGCATGCACACGTGCATGTGCACGCATGCGTGCGCGCGCACACACACACACACTCGTTTTACAAAAGTCTGTCTTTTGCATCACTGATACTGACATATTTAGATAGGGCCCCCCTTGGCACAGTTCATTCAGTTCATCAAAACTCCATCACATCATTGGCACTATTAACATGCTGGGAGTTTGGGGTATGTGCAAATTCTCCTCTAGTTCTCCCTAACAATTACCTTTGCAGGTTTGCTGCATGCAGTTACATGAGCATCTTCTTTCATTCCTTATTTGTGTCTCCCCATCTGCCTGTCTCCCTGCTTCCACAGTCCCCATTCATCCCAGATTCAGCCTTGGAGAAACTGGTTCCATGTAGCTGTGATTCCTACACTGATTAAAATGGAACATTTATAGGCAGAAACCCCTCTGTTCATTTCTCACACAGAAGCCTTCAAAACATTACCCTAGGAGAGCCGTTCCTGCATAAGAGGTAGGGATAGACAAAGACAAGTGGTTGCAATGGGCTTATCTAAGCCTGTAAAGATAACCACTGTTCCAGTCACTGTGTCAAGGAATGGCAAGTGAACTTTCTGAGGTTATCCTACTTGAACATAGAGCAGGCAAGTACTAAGATCAGTTAAAGATGCATATATGCACAAGTACAAATGATGCTTTGTGAACCTGTTGAGGTGATTGCACAGTTCATGGATCTTAACTATTGTGTATTTGTTTCCAACCAACTCTTGAGCTGTGAGAATCATTTAGCCACTGATCAAGTCTGTCATCTTAGAAGCAGAAGCTATAGAAACACCCAAGACAGAGATATCATTTACTTTTATCACATCAATGCATAATTCTTTTTCCATCCAATTCCTCACAAAAAATATAAATGTTTTCCCACTGTGTCAGACCATCTGAGACTCCAACTCTCAGTTCAAATAGACATTTAAAAATGTGAGTTTTTAAAAAAACAAATGTAGGTTTTTGTGTAAGCTGAGCAAAGCAGAGTATGGAGGGAAAATGTGAGGTTCACAGGTAGACGAACTCAAGTTTGAATCTTGCCCATGCTTACTAACCAAGAGACCTTGAGTGAGCTGATTCTGTCCATGCTTCAGTTGTTGATGCTAAAATCAGAGATTCCTTTAGAGCTGTTTGCTGAACTAAAGAAAAAAGTCTCAACTTACATCTCCCTTTTAGGATTTTAGCCTTAGTTCACCAGCCCTGTAGGTTAACTAAATTGTTAAACATATACAAGTGTAACGTACAATGCTAGAAATGCTAAAAGTCATAAACATATACATACCTACTAAATTTTAGTCAGTAAAACTCAGTGGATAGAAAACATGTTCTCAGCACTGTGTTTGGTTAACATGACAATGTGATCTGATCCAGTATCCCAAGGACACTTCAGATCCATCTTCAAATCCAAAGGCCTCCAGTTGAGAGTTTGCAAAAATACTAAACATTATCGGTCCATGACTAAAAGTGCCCCATCATGTAAATCAAAGCTCTGTTTTCCAAAATCTTCCTAAGTGGAGAAGCATATACAGGCCCTGGTTTGGGGCAGCATCAGGTCAGAATAACCTGGTTTTAGGGGTACACATAGGTGTAGAAATACGATAAACTTGTACCACCCAGCATTTTTCCACAGCTTTAGCCAGATGACTTCAGAAAGTATTGACAGCCTCCCTGAGTTTTAGCTTCCTCAGCTGTGCAATGAAAGCAGCATAATTCTTTAGAAAGTTGCCGTTGATCTACATAGAGAATTGAGTTCCATTTCTGGTGTGAAATCAGTAGAGTTTGGAATTTGAAGGACAGACTTGGAGAAAAGGCCAGTGTGCCAACACATATTTATTAAGGATTCGGGAAATCTAAGGTCAAACCTGAAAGAAAAATATCAAACACAAATATTTACTTGTGGTTATTTCTTCCGTTGTTGAATTTATGCAACAAAATATATGTATGCACCTATTTTTGTTAGATTTCATTGAAAAAGATTTAGGCATTGTTTACTATTCTTACTATGTGTTTATTGTAAAAGATACCTTTTGAATGGCAGTGATTATATATTATTTTAGTAAGTTTTTTTTTTTATTCCAAGTGAAGATCACAGAAAATAATATCATTTGGCAGAAAGAGAATTTGCAGCATTATAAGACTGATGTACATATTCTTTGGAGAAAATTGTGCTTATATTCAGCCACTAAAACAAGTGAGTAGGAAAAAAAGTTTCAGAAATTCTGAATAGGTGGTATGATTATATAGTGAAACTTTTCTTTTTTCCTCAGAGTTCTCTTATTATTTTGATAAATGATTTTTTGTGGATTTGTGACTCTTAAAGCCAAGGTAATTTGAAAAAAGTGACTTAAATAGAAAAGCAATTATTATGATGTAAATCTTATATTCTGATTTTTACAGTGTTTCTTTTTATGACATTGATTTTTTTTTAAAGCTTTGGTTTCAAAAACATAAGCTTCACCTTAACTATTTCTTCTGCCCTCTTTGACCTTGAGATGGTCGAAATATTTATGGTAAAATGTGGCCTGAACGTAAATGCCATGTCAATGGTTCCCATGGGCGGGATGAGCCCTCACTACACAGGATGGTCTCTTGTTGACACTGTCTCAGCCCCTAGACTGGAAACCCCATGAGCTCGGGCCCTTCAGCCCTGTTTACATGGGTGTGAGCCTCCAGTAAGTGCTGTCGTATCACAGACACTCTGGGAAGGTTTCCTGACTAAAAGCACAGATTCCCCCAGTTCTCACAGCCACTCCAAACAGAAGCAATATCAACAAAAGGAAGTGAAAGGGCTTATTTTTGTGTATCTCTGTTCTCCCTGTGGGAAATCATTTTATTTATACAAGCCCTAGAGAATTTAATAACGAAAGTGCAGTCTTAGCTCATGTTATAATTTAGCAGTGGCGTGTACATAAAATAATAGCCGGTCCTCTCATGAATCATCTCCTCTCTGCCAAGCTCCTTTAGGT